CCTTGCAGTGTCATAGATAATAATGAATATTAAAAAAATGATGAACATTAATGAAACTCAGAACACAAAAAAACAAAACAGCACATAATACAAGACACAACAAAGCAAAGCAAAGCAAACAAAAAACATCCAACTCACAAAATCAAAACCAAATAAAACAAAACAACAAACAAAAAATAAAAACACAACAAAGAGCAAAAAATTAAAAACACAACTAAAAGCGAAGCAAACAAAAAATAAAAATAACCAAATATAACAAAGCAAAACCAAATAAAACAAAAGCACAGAGAAACAAAAACACAAAAACCCAAAGCAAAGCAGTTATAAAACAAAAAACAAAAGCAAAGCAAAAAAAAAAACTCAAAACACAAAGCAAAGCAAGAATAAAACAAAAAACACACACAACAAAACAAAATAACACAAATAAATAGCTTTACTCAAAAAAGAAAGCAAAGGTTTTAAAAATGACAAAGAAACCTTTACCTATATGTTACTTATATTTACTTTTAGATTTGAATCACACTGGCAAATGATCAATTTGTTAAACTATATGCATTTCAAATAGTGTCTTTATGCTTCGTGACAGTAGTTTATTTTAGCATAATTGATCGACAGTACACGTTTCACAGGGCATATTCATATTTGAGAGTTGTCAGACTCCACGTCTTAGGTGGATTAAGGTGGTACAAAAGTTGCAAATGCTTTCTCATAGGGAAGGGCAAGTGATTCTGTCTTTGGCTGAATGACACCTTTTACACCTGCCCTGGCCTGAGGAAATCTCTATAAAATATTCACCTTTACTTCTGAAAGTGACTCACAGAAGTTCAGTACTTACTGTACACAGTCATCATTAGCTGATGCCACCCCACTGAAACACTGATTGTCTAGAAATAATGTGATTAAATAATGTGATTTAAGAGTGATTCAATAATGGCATGAGCATTGGAAGACTTTAATTAAAATATGTCACTCTATGTCCAAACTAACAAATGCCAGGAGTGATTCAGACTGAAAGTTAGTTGTATAAGGTTATATAGGTTGGTTACAATACCAGTCAAAATTTTGGGGTCATTAGATAAAAAAAAATATTAATAATATTTGAACAAAAGTGACAGTCAAGACATTTATAATGTTACAAAAGATTTCTATGTACGTTTGCTCTGTCACACTGGGGGTGGGGGTTGTTATGTTGCGGGTCAATTTGACCCGTTTCGATTTTCAAGTTGTTGGAAATACTGGTTAACCTTTGTTTTTTTTCTTGATATTTTGTGACTTTTTCTCATTTATCATGATGAACATGCATGCAAAGTTTCAACATGCTGATGTGTTTTGACATATACAAACAAAATTACTGTTACGTTTGTGATGTTCGCGGGTCAATTTGACCCTCATAGACAGCCATTCAAAAGCATACACAGACACAAAATAAAAACATTTATTTTCTGCATGTCAGGGCACTTCAACTCCAGTTCTAACGTGCAAGTGCATCTAAAAGTGCTCTAACCCTAACCAAACACACTTAAAAAAGCTAAAATTACAGTGTTCAGAATTATTTGCAAATTACAGATGAAAATCTTTGTCAGACACAGATAGTAAAATAAGCTCTCATTTCAATATTCAAAATATCTAAAATACCTAGCTTTTAACCAAAACTTTTATGTAGGATTTTCAAAGGCAGCTTCACAGAGCCAAAAATAAATAAAAAAACATTTATTTGATGTATGTTTTTGTTATGTTTGGTTTCTCACTTCCCAGTGAGTGAATAATGAAACTAGGAAAATAGGTCTTAGGAAACTAGGGAAAGTTAACTTAGGAAAATGAAAAATTGTCATTATACAGCAATTTTTTTGGTTCAGTTACGATGTTCAAAGCATAAAATGTAAAAAAAAAAAAAAAAAAATCAGTATACTGTTTATTTTTCAATTTTGTCAAAACAAAACTGTTTTAAAAAATGTTTTAAAAACATTTTCATAAATCATATTTTCAGATATAATGTTTTTGTAATGTTTGACAAATTCTGATATTAAAAGTTTACAGTTTGTATCTGAATCTTTGTTGTTTTTCATAGTGTGGTTTTTGAGGAATTGTATTGAATCCAATTAGGGTCAATTTGACCCGCTCCATAAAGGGTGTACACAGAATTCGAACAGAACACAAGGGTTAAACCCATAGACAGTAAAATAAAATATTATACCAAGTATTTACATCAGTTTGTGGAAAAAATCTACTTGTGATGAACTTTGATTCATCATGTGGTTTTCTCCTTTACCACCACACAGTAAAAAAAAAAAAGATTTGTTATCACAACTTTTTTTTCTTTCGTCAAATCAACATATTGTGGTTTAGACAACATAATATTTTGAGATTCTGATGATTAAACCAATCTCCTTCATTGTAGTACCTTAAATTTCAATTAACTCGAAAAAAAACTTTTTTTTAAGTTAAACCAAACAACATTTTTATTACAGTTTTACATCATTATTCTGGCATCCACACTGCCAGGTTTTTTTTATTATTTATTTCTGTGAAACTGTATTTTTTTAGGTTGTTTTACCCTGCTCACTCCTTGCCTGACGTCTGCATCACACCTACATCTGCAGACTCACCCATTTTGTCTTTTACTCTCCACTACAACTGTCTGTCTGTCACCTAATCACACACACACACACACACACACACACACACCTCCTTTAATTCAGGGAATTGGTAACCACAATAGTGATCATGAATACACACACGTGTACTGTTTTAATCGTGATGAGGGCGTTGTCATGCATGCCGATTCTATATCTTCTTGTCTCTCTGTGACATCTGTCAGATTTTATCAAGCGAACTGTGTGAGAGATCAATAAATATACAGCCCAACAACATTTTCTCAGCACTGGAACTATTTACTAAATCCTGCTGATTGGTGAGTACAAGATAAAAGCAAACACTTTCTATTTATTTTCATCTTTCAATATTTGCTTAATATTGTCGTCTTATGAACCAGCATGATTCAGTTTTGTGAACAAGCATGGAAATGCTGTCTGAACAGAAATCTAGTATCACAGACAGTGACTCAGTGAGTGATGAGCATGATAACTTTGTGAGGAAAGTTACAAATTAAGCTTATTCTTATAAATGATGACATTTCCAATGAAATTTCCTGTGATGACCATCTGCATTAAGAAATAGGCCTAGTATAAATATAACTCAAGGTTTGAATTTATTTTTTGTGACACAGAACTGCAAATAATTATATTGACTTCGTTAAATCTAAATCTTATTTCAAATCTAAAGCTAAATCGAGTTTATGCCTTTGGTAAAATTCAGTTGTAAAGTAGCCTATCGTTACTTTTCATCTGATCGTTTATATTAGTGCTTGAGCAATGAGTTTCATAAAAGCAAAGGGTCATTAGGTTAGATGAAGTCATGAAGAAAAATGATCGGAACTGAAAACAGCATGACCTCCCGCGTTTTCCGGCTTCTCTCGTTGCTAGGCGACGATACAACAACAACCTGTTCAAACGGAGACATAGGCTACGTCACCTGCATGTCAGAGCGCGTTCTCTTCGAACTATCGTGTCAGTGACGACAAGATGCTGGAAGAACGAATTTATTTAAGTATTGACTGTAATGAAAGTATGCTGTATCCGCGAAAAAAAAAACCGTGTCATGTTATTTAATTACATGCCATTCTTTTAATTTACACTGTTAATAATGTTTGTCAGGTAACTAAAGTAACCTAAATAGTTATTATTTTCATGATTCAAACATATTTGTATAATTTATTTCTAAATACTGTAATGAATAAAAAAACTCATTCTCGTTACTGTAATGGAAAGAATAAGGCCTATTGATATAGCCCTATAATCATTTACACTGTAAAAAAAAGTACTGCTTTAAGTTTACTTGGATGTTTCAACTTAAATTACATTAAACTGACTTTAAAAAATGAGTTGAATCTTGTATAACTTATTAAAAAAAGTTGAAAATTGCGTAATGTAAAAACATATGTTGTCATAACTTATTGATCATATATTTTTTTTACACTGTAATATTTGGTGTGCAGACCTATGCTATTATATATAAGGGAGAGCGGGGCACAACCTAACGCTTTTTTGACTTTCTCAGTTTGTGTAAATCTACTTGGTTCAGAGTATTTATTTTTTCCACATTAATTTCCCACATGTCTAGTGCAATTATGTGGTTTTGATTTATTGATATAGTGTATGCTTTTTTCTTGATATACCCCGAAAGAATGGAAGTGAAATGTGACAACATCCCCCAGAGTGTAACATGACCATATAAAACAGCTTAATGCTATCTGATCTTATCAAAAAAATATATACAAGACAAACTAAAATATTTTCTCAATAAAATACAATTATTAACTTTTTCATATAAAATAATGGCATTTTTTTAATAACTAAAAATAAAATAATTTTTGAGTTTGACAACGAACACATCAGAAAACACAGCTATTGGCCTACAACATAGTTCAAAACATAATATTAATTAATAATTTCTGAACATTGCCTCTCAGTGTTTATTCACCTTTTTTTCGTGTTTTCTCAATAAATATTAAAAAAAATATAGAATAGAATAGCATAGTTCTAATAGGGGCACATTGTGTTAAAACATTCCCCACCTGCACAACTGGGATTTAAACCCTGCGAGTGTCTTCTAGTTAGCGAAGCATTAAAGAACCATATCAACTGTTAAATAACATATTATTGGAGATCAAGATAATATCAGATTTGTATCATTTAAAATAAACACTAAAAATAGAGATGAACAATGAACACAAGAAATTTACGTTTGCTATACATGTTAAAATAAACGTTCAGGGATATCTTCCGAAGATTTCGGAATTTTAGCGCAATTTTTTTCTCTATATTGTGTTGATATGGCAACTAGTAAATTGTGTTCGTTCATGAGTGTACCTGGCTCAGGTAACCGATGACTCACCCAAGCCCCGCCCACTTTAACTCCCACCTGCGAAAAAGCTTTAGAGTTCAGATCAAACGTCAGTAGTGCGTTTCCTCACAGTTCCAGCACCAGCGCAGAGAAACTCAAGCTGACTAACCGAAGACTCCTTTATTGCGGGGATCTATCTTTTTCCACTCTCTCTGGTGGGACTGTAACTTTTCAGCTCGGTACCATCGTCGCTTCGCAATGAGTGTGAGCGTGACCACGGAGAACGTCTTTCTGTCGGCGTTGCAGCCCAATTCGACCGTCAGTACTTACGCGGTTCCGTCCGAAAACGAGCTCGCGCACGGCGGGTCTCACGCAAAGGATGAGGCGAGGTTTAAGCGCGTGCACCAGCAGGTGACCATGAGACTGAGGGAGAAGTCCACGCTCCCGCGCCAGAACGGATCCTCGACACAATACGCAGCCTCAGGTGTGTCCCCGACCCGTGAGCTTTGATCTCATTGTAATACAGCTACACAACACAACAGCCTTTGAATTATTAATCTGCTCATCATCTGACTTTGTGCTGTGCTTTTATACAGTATGGGGTTTCATTAAACAATGATCCGGAGTTGAATTTCATCTTTATTAACTCATTTGTTTGGTTTATCAAAAGCAAATGCATTATTATTAAATCCACAGGCACAGGATGTACTGTGTTGTTTACACTTAAGAACACTGTAAAAAAATATATGATCAATAATTTGTATTTTTGTAATTTATTTTTTTAAAATAGCCTTAGATGCTGACATGGCATTAAATAAAACAATCTATCTATATGAACAATACGTTATGACAGCACATGTTTTTACTTTGCTTGAACTCATCAAAATAAGTTAAGCAAGTTTTAACCATTTTTATACGTTATACAAGATTCAACTCAGACAGAGTCAAAGTCAGTTTAGTGTAATTTAATTTTAAATGACTTAAACATCCTTAAAGTTGATTGTAGGCTACTTAAAAATTTAAGGCAGCAACTTATTTTTTGCAGTGTATGCAAAACATTAAATATTTATGAGACAATACTGCCTGTTGCAAAACTGTGGTCACATGCTTTCTGTTATTTGGATATAATACACTAAGACAAAACATCACACGGCATTTGTCCATAATGCATGTCATGACTAAGTTGAATGAACCTTTAAGCTAAACTAAGTTGAATGTAGGCTACCTTTGTTTCAGTTGATAATAAAAAGCAGTGCCATAAATGGTGGTTCGTTCACATCAGGCGTGGTAGATTTAGTTTTCACCATTGTTCTTGAACATGGCGATTAAAATGAAGGGGATAAAATAGGGTGGGAAAGTTTTTCTGCAATTAGAATGGATATAAGCGAAGTTTTTTTTAACAAAAATGACAAATAAGTGGCACTTGTGGAGCAAACAGAAATACAATACTTCTGGTCTGGTGTGAATCATTTACAGGGGCGAGTTGAGGAAGGTTCAAGTGTAATCTCAGTTCCTGTTACACGACTAAGTGAGAGTGAAAGTTTCAAAGCTCTCCTTTGAAAAATCCCAACCCACGCCAAACAAAAAAGTGCTTAGCATCGCACAAAAGGGAGGTTATTTGGTGCCGTCAATCATAATGCCGTGAATATCAATTGGCGTGACGGAAAAGCCAAAGAATTTAACCTGAGGGTTTTGCTTTCTCAATGTAGAAAGCCAAACTCTTTGTTTCAGTCCACAACCTTAGTGAAACTATATGACTTCATTACACAGTTGTGTGTATACCATCCATTGATTGCACTCAAAAGCATTTAAGAATTCGTGGTTGATTTAAGTGGTTAGGACAAAAAGGGGTTGAATTCCTGGCTTTATGAAGGTCTGCCGCAGCTACTTTCAGGGTTTAACCTCTAGTGCTTAGCGGATACATTATCCAGCGGACCCCTGGTTTATGAGGTACCTGCATTTTGACAAGTTCGAACAGCCTTGCATATTCCTGTTACTGGCCCAAGGCTTCCTGCAAGACGTCTTGAGAATGTCTGAACTAGATCTGACAATGGCGAATACCAAGCATATTCTACGAGTTTGAGAGAAACAATATTTTTTTAGAGATGTAGGTCAAGTGGATTGTTTTAAAACAATGCATTTTGAACATTAAAAAATGTGACTTCTGGTGCAAATAACTTAGTATAGTTCGGCCTATTTGTGTTTATTTGTGCTATGCAATGCACTAGGGCAGGGCGAGGCAGGGAAATGGGTGTGTGTTTTTTGGGTAGGGACATCGGGAGTGTCCCAGTCATCAGACCGGTTCTGTCTATTCTGCTGCTGTTGTCTACAACTCACTCTACACTTATTCACTCGTCAAACGCTTATACCACTCCCAAATTCGCGTTCTCAAACGCGTGTACATGCATGCCCATAGATGCAACCCCATCTGTTGCTGAGCCAGAACAAAAAAAAAAACGTTTGTTGTAAACTTGCGCTGCAGTATTTTGTGTAACTCTACAAGTTTGCCTCACATTGTACTTGCAGTGTCATCAAGGGCATATGCTGAGCACACTGACTCAGCTGTAAAGTTACAGACTTGATGTCTTTACGGGGCGTGAATCTTCGGCTTTACATTTGAACGTCTGTAACTTATTTCCCACTGCTAACAATATACACAGACAGTTATGCTATCCGTTCAAACAAGACATGCAAACGTACATACATGGTGTCATAAACCTGACAACAAGGAAGCAAACAAACTATCAAAGAACTATTGTGCAAGTTTACAAAATAGACGTACAAACTTATGCGCATTGGTATCAAAAACATGAAACAAAACAAAGTTGTGTAATTAATTGGAGCATGTTTACATAGAAACTTGCGTGCAAAAAGCTGTCGTAAACATTACTAAATTTAAACAAAACAACCAATTTGTTTGTTTAAAGGTTTACATAAACATATAAACAACCAATTTGTTTGTTTAAAGGTTTACATAAACATAAAATACATTAAAAAACTCGCATACAAAGCTATCGTAAACATGACTAAAGTGAATCAAAATAGCATTTGTTTGAAGTTCCATCAAAGAAAAAAATGCATGTTTGTGTACAAACTTGCGCACAAAGGCGTCATAAACATGGTTAAAGGGAAACAAAACAACAAAGTTGTTTGTTTAATTGTTGAATTAAAGAATGTGCATGCATGTTCACAATACTCAATGCTTACAATAGCTTTGTTGTGTGGATGGTTAATAATTTTATGAAACAAAAGCTTTTCATTAGTTGAATCTAGCTGATTCTCTTTGTCAATGCTACCTGATTGGTCATAATGTTTTGGAGTAAATGTTTTGTTTTTTAACTAAAGGAAAATAAGTGGCAAAACATTCAGAGATCAGAAGTGCAAGAATTGCTGATCAAATGCAATCTTTTTAGAATGAGGATATGTGGTTTAATAGCTGGTTTTAATAGCTTCAGTCTACACCAACTGGGTAATTTATTGCCAAGTTAAGATCATGAGTTTTATTTTCTTGATTAAAATACACTGTAGCTGAGCTGCTATGTGTTCAGAAACTTGTAGAATGTGATAACACATTGAGAAAGTTCACTGGGAGGATAACTAGTCCATTATGTTTTTCACAGTCAGAAATCCCCATTCCGATGAACATTTCTATTAATTCTCTGTATTTTTCTTCTCTTAGAGTCTGGGGATTATTCTACCATGACAAAAGTTTCAACAATGAGCCAAAACTTCACCCCAAATTTCAGCTCTAAATCCTTTTCCTCCGGCAGACCAATGGTGGTAAGATTCTTCCCACTTAGAAACATAAATATTTTATTGTAGTTTGCTTGTTTGAAAAACATATCACACATTGAGCTAAGTTAAAGAAATCTTTTTTGTGTGTGACTGTATGGACGTGTATCTTGTCCAAATATTGAAAATGAGTAATGGAGATTGTGTTAGTTAGGTGTGATATTTCACAGGCCAGCTCTACTCAACAACCTCATATGAAAAGTCACAAGGTTACAAATCTCTAAGCGTCACTTTTAGTTATTTTCTTATTGAGTAATACTGTGTTTAAATTTGGGCTGTTGATTTAATGTATTAAAAATGCATTAAATAGATGGGTCACACTGTCTTTAAATACTATCATGTTGTTTTGTAAAGCACTCTTGCTGCTATTTGGTGGTTTGGTGGTATGGTTCGGTTTAGGTATTGGGATAAGGTGTAAAGGAATGAATAACCATCAATAATTCAAACTTAAAATATCACCCTAATGTTTTTGCACTTATCATATATCTGAATTATCTTAATTATCTTTGGGGCCTTTCTTCAGAAATATCAATGTGATTAAAGGGTTAGTTCAGCCAAAAATGAATTCAGTTACTCACCTCATGTCGTTCCAAGCCCATAATACATTCGTTCATTTTCGGAACACAAATGAAGATATTTTAATGAAATCTGAGAGCTTTCTGTCCCTCCATTGACAGGCTACCCATCTACCAATTTCAAGTCAAGTCAAGTCACCTTCATTTATATAGCGCTTTTTACAATCCAGATTGTTTCAAAGCAGCTTTACAGTAAGAATTGGAAATTAATGCAACAAAGATTGTTTTGGCTGTGCAGCAAATCTAGAAAAAAGTTATTGTCCAGTTTAAGGAAGTTTTCGATTGATTCATTTCCGTTATAAACTTAGGGGCCGTTTACACGACACCGTTTTCAACTGAAAACAGAAAACTTATAATGCGTTCTAGTCGTTCAATTACACGACAACGGTGTTTTGGTGGCCTGAGAAGGCAAACTTTGAAGTAGGTTTCAAAGTGCACGTTTTTGAAAGCGAGTTTTGAAAGCGAAACCGTTATTATCCCTGTTTAAACTTCAAAAACGTGATTCTGTGAAAACGGTGACGGCATGCATATTACGTCATGTGTTTAGTCTATAGGCATGCGCGTCTTTCTTTACAAAGTGACATTGCCAATTACTTGTCTGGCATGCATAATACAGCGTTTTTAGTCGTTTCCGCGGATCCGTTTGAATGATCCTGATCTGGATACGGCCCGGATACGGCTGAGTACTATAAACCTCGGGATAAACAGAGAGACTAATATTAGCGTAGATTCCATTCTTCTTATGATGTAGCGAGTACATCAGGTGTTATAGGAAGTGTTCCCAGTCCCAGACCTAATTTATGTAGCCTAATAATCATTTTACATGATTTGAATAATAGGAATGTATAATGTCCTATGTGTATGCCAGGTCAAAGAGATGTGTTTTTAGTCTAGATTTAAAGTGACAAAAGACTATTCCAAAGTTTAGGTGCTTAATAGGAAAAGGATTTACCACCTGCAGCTGATTTTGATATTCTAGGTATTATCAACTGGCCAGAATTTTGAGACCGCAATAGACGTTGAAGGACTATAATGCGTTAAGAGCTCATAAAATTGAGGTCAAATCCCTGGTGTCACATGGATTACTTTATTGATGTCTTTACTACCTTTCTGGGCCTTGAAAGTGGTAGTTGCTAAGACTGCCAATGGAGGAACAGAAAGCACAGAAATCCCTTAATTAAATAGATCTTCATTTGTGTTCTGAAGATGAACGAATGTCTTACAGGTTTGAAACAACATGAGGGTAAATAATAATGACAGAATTAAAACATTTTGGGTGAATCAACCCTTTAATATCATTTGTATTGATTAATTAATCAACATATATAATTCGATAACATTTTAATCAATCGATAGTTATAGTTGATATCGTTATAGATATTCAATATTCATCATTTTCTTGTTTCTGCTAGGCGCAGCGTCCATCCCAGTACTCTAGTGGTGGTTTCTCATCCCGCTCTGCCATTGATTTCGCCCCAAGAACCAAAATGAGTTACACAGCGGGAAGAGGAGGTGGCGGCAGAGGCGGGGCATATTACCAGGAAGAGGTTGTGGGCGGCGGAGGCGGGGCATATTACCGGGAAGAGGTTATGGGCGGCGGTTATCAGGCTGGCGGCGGATACCAAGCTGGCGGATACCAAGCTGGCGGTGGCCCAGTTCAACTGCAGCAGGTCGGCGCAATGACTCGTTCCTTCAGCCGCATGGGGGGCGACCCGGAGACGATGTCGATGCATTCCATGCGTGTGGCATCCATGCCACGCCAGGTTGCGGCTTCTTGGGCGGGACAGGATGACAGCGACGGCAGCCAAGTTTCCGAACGTGATGCCATTTTTACACAACAGGCTTCCGTGAACAACGGCTATGCTGCCAAAACCTTCCCACGCTCGTCCATGTACACCACCTCTAGAGTGAACGGATATGAAAGCGGACAGCAGCAGGTCAACTCCATGACGCTACCGGCCATGAAACGCTCCCTCAGCGGGACGCTCGCCTCTAGCGGCGGAGGAGGCGTGGACCAGGAGGTCTACGTCAGCCGGCACTCCTACAAAGGCCCCGCCCACCGCACCATCAACCGAATCAACAATCGGCAATCGGTTCGCCAAACGTCCAATACCTCATCATCCGGCATGTACGGAAGTGTTGGAGGATTCAATGGCTCCCAGGGCAACCTGGCGCTGGTGCAGCAGGGAAGGCTGTCGCGTGCCGGCTCCGTAAGGAGTATGCATAGTGTTGGGAGAGGCAAGGATGTGTTTGATGGCATGGATTTCTCGGGAAGCATGGGCAATCTAAGCGGGTAAGAACACTTACCTTAGGTGTGTGAAAATATCGAAACTAGCGAAATAGCGAAACGCCCCAAATAAGTCAAGGCAAGGAAGAATTTATTAAAGTTGTGATGAGAAGCAAGTAGCATATTTTTTTCTTCCGTATAGAGACGTACATCTGAGTAAAATGGCTTATCACTTCAGATTGAATGGAGGCAGATCTGAATGCGAGATTGTAGTCGATTGTAAGAAAGGGGTGGAGCTAAGCGGATAAAAGTTTTGAAGAAGCCTGGTATACGTCAAAAGAAAGAAGTCTGTCAATTCACTGGGAGATCGTGTTACAATATTTTGATTCAAAATTACAGCATTTAAAAAAAAAAAACTATATTCTCAATAAGATCAATTACATGCATTTAGAAAATGGATGGGGTGAATTTGCTTTTCCTTCAGAATTTAAGGGTTGTTGTCAGACAAAATGCAAAGCAGAGTTTATTTTTTTACAGTTGCCGAGCACCGTCAAAGCTTGCCGAATTTAATGTAGAATGACTTTGAATGATTTTTTTCACTCAGGTGTTACATAAGGGTCATCCAGTTTTTATGCTAACACCAGATCTTATCTTTTGGTTTCTGCCCAATAAGTTAATGATTACAAAATGAGAACATAATCTAATTAAAGTAATATGAAAAATATTTTAAAATTGGATTATATAAAAAAAAGTCATATATATATATATATATATATACACACCCCAGATAAGATAAGATTTTGGATATACTGCTCATTTAACAGCAATAACTATTAACTAAGGGTGCCTGGTATCAAAATATCAGGAAATTGTCTTTTAAATTACTTTAAATATGTAAGGAAAAGTATTATGCTAGCACCATTAGCGTAAAGCACCAGTAGAGTAAAACGCAACTTTTACTCTAGTGTAAAAGTAGGTCTAATTGCTTAAAATGCACAAATAACATGTGTCCAACCAGAAATTACATGTCTTACCAAACGCTACTGTCGGTCGAAAATTCCCTGAATTATGCACCATAGCTATAGTTGAGCCACACTATGTTTTACAACAAACACTGCGTATTACTGTTTGCAAATTAGCCTGTTAGCTATTCTCATTAAAACACTAAGCTAGGTGTGCAATTATGGCTAACAGTGATTACCCACAGTGAGTGCAGCACTGACCTTTGAAACAAGAAATTATTCATACTTTGCTTTAACAGCCTGTCAGTACACCCAGGTTACATACTTAGCTTATCTGTCCTTGTTGCGCTAACACTGTGTGTGTGTGTGTGTGTGTGTGTGTGTGTGTGTTTGATGTGCCCAGCCCTGCCCATATGTGTGGAAAAAAGTGAAGAGAAAGTCTGTTGTGCAGGCACACCCAAACCAGTCCAGCCACCTCACACTTCACACACCCTGGGAAAAAACACACAAACTTCCTAGCACTCCAGCGACATGCACCAGCATACACAACCGCACGTAGAGGAATGTCCTCTTAAGCAAAACATTTTTCAAATAATGCTGACTCTTAAAATGGAAGTAGTACTAGTTAAGAAGCTAAGATTAGCTAGCCTATCAATTACTTGACAAAGGAATAACCTTCTAACCTTTTCTTCAAGCACCACTCTAGGCTCAAATCGCAATGAATAGTGTTTTTTAAAACAATATTTGGAAACATTGAGAAGAGCGTTGACAAGTAGAAGAATTGGGAAATTTGGATTCTAACCCAAATTTCCTACATAAGCTCCAAAGCTCATTGCTAAAGTTAACATGCTAACGTTCAAAACGTACAGTTTTTAAAAAATATATTTTTGTGAACATTAAGGCAACCATTCCATTGTATCACTCTTCAAACATTATGGGAAAACACTCAATGAAATGAACGATGTATAAATAACGTTTTTGTGCTAACATTTTGAATAGACAAGACCAGATATCTTTGAACAAACATTCTATAAGTGTTACTGGAAGAACGTTGGTTCGTAACTTTAAGAGAACCTTGCCAGAACGTTAGCTAAAGACCTGAGAAACTTCCCTGTTAGCTGGGTAAAATTTAAAAGTCCTTGAAGAAAACCTACAATATGAACATATACAGCTAAGCAATATCACCATCTTTACAGGACACATTTACTAAATAAATGTTCAATTATTTTTGTATAGGATCGACAGCTTGGACTTGCCTACTGCCCTGAACTATCTTGATACGTCCGATCCTGATCTTCAGGTGTTGGGAGCTGCCTACATCCAACATGAGTGTTACAGTAATGGCGATGCAAAGAAAAAGGTATGCAGTTGCTTTTCATCTGAAGAAACATTCAACTGAAATGTGTAAATGTGTCTTCGATGTGAGTAGAACGTCTGTGTTTCTTTCAGGTGAACCAGTTGAAGGGAATTCCTCGCCTGTTGCAGCTGTTCAACAGTGAGAACATAGACGTGCAGCGCTACTCGACCGGCGCCATCAGGAACGTCATCTATGAGAACATGGAGAACAAAGTGGGCCTTATTGAAGCCGGCGGGATCCCCAAGCTCATAGAGACCCTAAAAGAACCAGACGACGAACTCCACAAGAACATCACAGGTGGGCGTTTCACTCATGTTGTTCTAGTTAAATTTACTGCCATTACAATTGCCATTGGAGCACGTGTTTTTCATTAGTATGGCCTTGTTTACACCTGGTATTAAGATGCGTTTTGGTTGATCTGATCACAAGTAGACGAGGGAGACACATTTCCGTTTACACCTGGTGTTTAAATCCGTTTCTTTTGTCCACTTTCAACCACTTCTGTCCTGATTTCTTTAAGGGGAGGGAGGGACTATGAGTGGGTAAATATATGGGTTTTTCCAGATCTTTTGATCTAATGTACAAAATAAGCTTGCGAAATGTACATATGAATGCGCACAGTCTGGCTTAAACCCCGTCTGGCTAGCGCTTCCCATAATGTTTACGCATTAGGTCAGTAGACGGAGAGTAGACGGTCTTTTGTGGCGGTTCGAACGCATTCGACCACATGAGTGTTTACACTACGAAAGCAACCCGGTTGAATGTGTTTTCGACTACCTCTGGAAGTGGTTGAAAGTGGACAAGCTCAAAACGTTTTAGCCCACTTTTACACCTGTATGAGTGTTGTCTACTTGTGATCCCATCGCCAAAACGCATCTTAATACCAGGATTTAAACGGGGCCTATGACGCAAACGTTTTCACCTGTGCCTTTTAAAGTGAATTTGATTTCTTGGGCTGCATCACAAAGCTTAATTTTCCCACGAGAAGCCTAAAGGTGCGGTCAAATTTACTGTTATTCGACAAGTTTTGCGGGCAAAATCCAGTCATTTCAGTAGGATGACTATTACTAATAGGATGAAAGATTTCGTCATGCAGATTTCGCAATGGGTTCAAGTTGGGCACATGGATTGATCTCAGTTTATCAGTCTTTTACAACAGGCCAGCATAAAAAATACTCTGTATAACTTTAGTTTAGGGTCCAATTCTCACTATTAACTAGTTGCTTGTTAGCATGCATTTTACTAGGATTTTGGCTGTGTATTAGTACTTATAAATGCCTTATTCTGCATGACCATATTCTACATTCCTAATCCACCCCAATACTTAAACTTAATTACCTTCTTAACTATTAATAAGCAGTACTTAGGAGTTGGAGTTTGAGGCAAAAGTCATAGTAAATAGTTAGTCGAGAGAGAATCTAAAGTGTGACCAAATACTTTATGTAGATTATAGCTGAGAGTTAAAGGGATAGTTCACTCAAAAAATTAAGTTCTTGGTTTGCACAAAAAAAATATATATATATTTACGAATCTCCAACAATAATCTCCAAATATTAATCTCTAAAAAGAACTTTATTTGTGTTCCGAAGATGAACGCAAGTCTTACGGGTTTGAAACGACATGAGGGTGAGTAAACGATGACAGCATTTTCGTTTTTGGGTGAACTCTCCCTTCAATGTGCAATCACATGATTCACAAGTGAAATTTGAGAAATTGTGTAGGGAAAAAAGGTCCATTGTCTAATCGTGTAGCGATGTATGAAGCGCAGCTCACACACAGAAGTCACTTTCGAACAGGTTTTTTCAAAGTCAGTCTAGATGTGTGTGTGTGTGTGTTAGCGTTGACCGATCTCTCAGTGTTGCATCAAGCTGCATTAATTATTGCTCAGCGTTGTCTCGACATGTGCCGTGGAATGAGCGGACTCCTGTAGCGGAGGTTCGTGAGTCAGGTTTATGCCAGTGCTTACGGCTCTGTGCGTGTCTGGATGTGCAGGAACCTCAATAAACACGCATCTATGAGAACACCACTACTAAACATGGGGGCTTTTAGGAGGATGACATCATAACGAAAGTCAAAGAGGGTGTAAATCATTTACATGCAATTTCAATTTGTGATTTTTGAATTATTTCCCTCTGTTTTTTCTCTTTTGTTTGTTTCAAATTCTTATCTATTTCCCATGGCACTTTCCCATGCTCTTTTCCTCTTTATCTGTCTCTCATTCGCTGTAGGTATTCTGTGGAATCTGTCCTCTAAGGATAACCTGAAACAAAGGTTGGCACAGGAAACTCTTCCCGAATTGACGGAGAGGATTCTGATTCCCCTCTCTGGCACTGGGGAACGGGAGATCATTGAGCTGACCGCCTCAGAGTCCGACATCTTTAACAACACCACTGGCTGTCTCAGGTACAAACACACACACACACACACACACACACACACACACACACACACACTTTTTTGAGTTCCCCTTCACTACTTCCTGTTCCTATAGGAACTATATCAAACTTCAGTGAATGAAAATCCCCTCTAGGCACATCACTGCTAGGAAACCTGAGAACAAGAACTCTTAAGATGCATGTTTCAATCCAAAACCCAATCCAAAAAGAAATTATATTTTAGGACTGTTATTTTTAGAACATTGTTATAAAAAAAATTATTTTATTTTTTAAACTGTTGAAGCCTATATTTAGGACTGTTATTTTTATTAAATTATAGAAAACGAATTCTAAGTTTAGGACGGTTATATTGTAAAAAAATATATTTTTATTTTATTTTTTTTATTTAGGACTAGGATTGGGTTACACTTTATTTTAAGGTGACAGTTACATTATACTTACTCAAATAAGTAATATTAATTAACTACATGTACTTACTATAGAGATACAGTTAGGGTTTGGTTTAGGGTTAGTTACTTGTAATTATGTATAATGTACTGTTATTACTATAGTAAGTAATTGTAGTAATTAACAACTACGTCACCTTAAAATAAAGTGTAACCGTTTTTTTTTTTAAATTACAGAAAATAAAGATGATTTTTGGGACTGTTATTTTTAGAATTTGTATATATATATATAATATATACTTTAGTTGAGAAAATGTAACAAGACTCACCACTGAGAATAATGGTGACTACAAATAAATGTATTTAAAAAAATGAAATGTATATGTTGCAAGCAGGGTGTGGCAGATAGCCATGGGAATGGAGTGAGAATATATAACACATAATATATCATTTGTTTTATTTTTTCCCCCTTTTTGATTTTGGGTGAAACAAAATGTGTTTTCTTGAGATTCAGCCTTTTATATATGCCTCTGCTTCCTTGTACAGGAACTTGAGCTCAGTGAACGAGAAGACCAGACAACAGATGAGAGACACCAATGGCCTTATAGATGCTCTGGTTGGCTATATTAAGAAATGCTTGGTAGACACTGAAGTGGAAGAGAAGGTAATTGTGTAACACACACTTTTATTTTCTGCCTTTGCTGTTGACTCTGCTTGCAAATGGTGTGTTTACATGGCCATTCATGTGTGTGTTCCTCTTTCAGGGTGTGGAGAACTCGCTGTGTGTGTTGAGGAATCTGTCCTTTCAGCTGTACAGTGAGATGGCCCCCTTGTCTCTGGCGCGGTTGGAGGGTCCAAGCCGAGCTGAGCGCCCTCATAAAGCAGAACCTATCGGCTGCTTCGCCCCTAAAGGCAAGAAGGCCAAAGACGTAAGGAAGAAGCTGCTTTCAAATTCCTCTTTCCTATTTCAAAAACTACAGCTTAAACTCATATTTAATTTTTACTTCCAGAGTCAAAATCAGGACCTCTGCACATTTACAGAAGTGTCGCGGGTGCCCAAAGCCATAGAGTGGCTCTGGCACCCTGATATAGTGGAGATGTACAATCAGGTGCTTCAGCGCTGTAAGATCAACACGACCACACGAGAGGCCGCGGCCGGAGCCCTGCAGAACATCACTGCCGGAGAGAAGAGGGTAAGACATTTACCTCACAACATCAGTTATGTTGGCTCCAGCTATACCCAGAAAATATGAGAAGCTTGCTAGAAATGCCTTAGCTTCTAGCCAAACCTTCTTAGCCTGGCATCTAGGGGGTGTAACGGTTCAGATTACTCACGGTTTATCACAGTTTTAGTTAGGGTCACCGTTTTCGGTACGGTTCTGTATGTGCAAAGTTCAGGGAAAAAAAGGACAAATAAAATAAAATTTTAAATAAAAATCATTTTGTATTCAAATAAATGTCATTTTGTCATTCAAATGTCATTTTGCTGTCAAATAAAAATCAAGAACATAAGAACAAATAATCAAACCACAAACAACAGCACAAATAAATACAATAGAGCAAAGATACAAATAAAATAAACAGGTTATTTAGGTATCTAACAGTAGTTTTCAGAAATTGATTACACTTCATATAATCTTCACTGTATTAAATTGAATAGACATCAATCCTTATTAAAGTTACAAAAGCTATTTAGTCAAGAGCAGTGAGTGATTTCTTTCAAGAAAAAAATACAGACAGCAGGAATATTAGGCTGCTGTCACTTTAAGACATAACGCACGGATCCAATATACTGATACACTTGCATTGTCTTTCTTAACTGTTTAAATTCATTAAAGATATAACCGACTATGTTAGCAGGTCAAGACGGGCATGTTGACATGATTTTTGTGTGAATTTGTCCGTTCAAGTGCAAGAAGACTTGAATGCGAACTCAGTTTAGTATTCATGCGCTGTGTGAGATGTGTGAAAAGTGCGCACACTTTTGCGGTGTCTTGTGCTTGAATGTTTAAATTGGTGACATGTGATAAACCGTTGTGACGACGCAGCACTGGCCCGGTTATCAACACTACAGCAACCGCTCATGAAACCACCCAGTACAGCGTTGCAACAAACAACATCTTTGCCTAACTAGTACTTAGAACACATTAGCAACTGTCTAGCAACCGTCTATAGTAAATGTATTTCAACTAGTAAACTTCTCTTTTTCTTTTTAATATCTCAGTGGGCGTCCGTCTTGAGTCGTGTGGCGTTAGAGCAGAATAGGATGTTGCCTGTCATTCTGGATCTCTTCAAGACCAACAACGATGCAGAGCTCCGTTCTCTCACCGGCTTCCTCAGAAACCTCACTCGTCATGCCAAGGACAAGAACGATATGGGTGAGGCTTCTTTCTCTAGCCACAAACCTGGAGTCAGTCGCACCTCTGTAGCATTAGAGAAGCTCATTGCTCAATTTCTTTCACTTTAGCTTCTAAGGTGGTAAATCCCTTGCTCATCAAACTACCCTCCGACGGTCGCCAGAAGAACCCGTCAGATGAGGTGGTGATGAACATCTGTGGAGCCCTCAACAACCTGGTGACCAGCAGCATAGTGGCGGCACGGGACATAGCCTACTTCGATGGTCTGCCCAAACTGGTGGGCATCAAGGACACCCACGACAGCAGGTAAAACTAAAAGTCATCCGACTATACAACAATCTCTCAAAATTATATTACTTCCATACTAACGTTGCAAATTCAATTTTCACCCAGTCCTGCCAAACTGAAAACTGCCCAAGCAGCGGCGACAGTGCTAGCCAACATGTTCCAGTACAGGAAACTACACAAAGATTACACAAATGTAAGTGTTATGATCAAATAAATTATACACGTTGAAGTTTTTCTTTTTAAAAATCGACGTACATTCATACATATTCTACATGGAGCGGGTCTTGTGCAACAAATACGCCTGTAAATAGAGCGCAGCAGTCGGTTCCGGAAGTAAAAACCTCATTCATTTTCTCTAAAAGGAAATTGATGTTGAGCAATAACCTTAAAAGATAGACCTACCGTGAGCTGCGATGTTGTTCTGGATTAACAACATCGTTGTTAATTTGCTTCTGAATTGAATTGAATTCCACATTATTTTAGCTTATTTCTAAAATAATCGTGTTTAACAGGGGAATTTCTGATGAAAAACCACTACATTACCCTAGCCTGGGAAAACCCAGACAACTTCTGGCAAATTTAGATTTGCTCTGAAAGTTAGTCTGGCAAAGAGCTCATTCAAGCCCATTTCCAATCCGTCGAAATCGAGGCACCAATCAGAAACGTTGGGGCGGGCTTTACCCGATGACGACAGCGCTGGGATTTTGAAGCAGATTTTGTAGCCTATATTACAAAGATGGATGCCGCCGTCGAACATCACTCGTTCGAATCAGCTATCGCGTCTGTTTTAAGCGATTTGAACGTTTCCTTTTTGTTAAAAACCGAGCAAAGAACAACACTCGGAGATGTTTCTCCGCCGCTCTGCATACGTCATCTCCTTCATCGCTCTGATTGGTTTTAGGTCTATCCACGACGTCCGTTGGTGACGCCCCTCTGGAAATGATTTGTCTATGACGCTTTGCCAGACCATAACTCAGTTACAACTGAGAATGGTCTGGTTTTAACCAGGCTAACATTACCCATGATGCTGTACAGAAAATTACACCAATCAGAGTCGAAATAAATAGCTATTTAGCTCCGCCCACTCCCATGAAGCACTGCGAATACGCAATTAAGTCGATCTCTCTACACTCTCAAAATATTTAAATGGTTATATATATATATATACATAAGTATTTAGCAATAAACTTAAAATATATAGTTTTTATACATATAATCAACGTTTGTAAATGAGTAGTTTTATATTTCTCCATCGTTTTTAATTTGATTATGCTGTTTGCCTCATGGGATTGTCGTTCTTTCCCTAATTAAAGCAGTTAGTCTTGTACCTTTGTCTTTTTGTCCGATTTTATTTTTATTTTTTTGCTTCAAATCAAAGTTTGTAGTGTTGTGATTCACCTCAAAGCTGATTGAGGTGAATCACAACTCTTATAATTATTTAACAAAGACTAAATGATAATTAATTTAAAAAAATACTTCAGGAACCAACACTGCTGAAAAAGACAATGCTGCAATCTATTGAGTAATCCTACAATGGTATTGTGAACTGATTCATCCACACCAGTAGGTGTCAGTATAAAGTACAAGATAACTGTTGTATTTTCAAGTAGAACACTAAATATTAAACTTTAGTGCATAACTGTTCCCACACAGTGCGTCAGTCATGAATGACCTCAAATCATGTGGTTTGACACATGAATCATTCTCTTTTTCTACGATTTTTGAAAATGTGTGAAAATCCCATCTATTTACACTGAAAGAGCAAATCGAGTCATATCTACAGACCAGAATATCATAGAGACTTGGTGGTGGGCTCTTAATCTCTCTTTAATCAGGACGACAAATACACCAAAAAAAAAAAGTATTTATAAAAGGTTTGGTTTTGTATGATTCATCCACACCAGTAGGTGTCAGTATAAAGTCCAATACCTCTGCTATATTTTCAAGCAAAACATTAAGGCTGTTTCTGAAATCATACCCTTTATCCTCATTTACTGTTCCCTACATTAGTCCATTAGTTCACTTGAGTGAGTAAATCAAAATGAGTGAGTGAATTCGGACACTGAGTCTTGAAGGGTATCCGCTTTCGCATAGTTCATAGTTCTTGCCGTTTAATAATTATTTGGATCTTAGCAAACTGGCAGCTCCAGTAGTGATAAAAAGATTTATCTTGAAGTCTGTCATGGAAACTATCAATAAACCATAATTAAATTCAATTTAAAATCCAATTAAAAAGGTATATTACGCTGTAGCCACATAGAGAGTAGAATATTATAGACATGGCAGTGAACGATTTTGATGTGGGCCAGTCAGCAATACCCTAGCAACCACTCTAGAAACCACATAGCAACACCCTGGAAACCACTCACAATGCCTGGAGCAACTTACACAGTAAGCCCTACTCACATTTACTTGACAAAATTGTAACTTTTGAAGTATTTATATCCGTTTCAGTCAGCTTATAAAGACCCACCCACAGAATGTGTCCGTTTCTGTCTGTGTTTAGCACGTTACATACTAGTACAGTTGTACATCACAGTTGCTGTCATTCCCGCCCTGCCCTCTAGACATTTTCCAGTAATTTGAAGACTGTTTAAAAAGCAACATGCACACATACATTCCCACAAACGAAAACACTTATCATACTAAATAATCAAAAGCAAAACAGCCCGCTTATTCAAACAGTCATATTGAAGTTGCTTTTTTTTTCAAAACACACAAACACACTTGTGTTTGATATGGGAGGTAGAGGTTTAGCCACACCTGAAATGGGGATTTCAGGTGATTTCCTCGTGAGCATGTCCAAACACACCATAAAACGCAGCGGGTTGAAAAAAACAAAAACAAACCATGTTCTTTCTTCTAAAATCAAATCTGGGATGGTAGCCAGTGTTGCTACCTGGTACAACGGTTTGGATTTAAAGCGTCACTGACTCCTGTGGTGTTTTCTGCTTGTGTTTTACAGAAAGGGTTCCGGAAAGAAAACTTTTCAGAGAACTAAACTGACCAGATTGTGACATTGGAAGATATTTAATAAGGACAATGGATAAAGAAAATACATACTGCCGGAACACCTGCAACATATTTTGAAACATGTGAATGTGGATAACACATTTAGCCTTCCCCCCCCCCCCCCCCCCCTAAAATCCTCAGGGATTTATTGCAATATTTGTCTTTTTATTTTTTACTGGCTGTTGCCTGTATTTCTTTTCTTTCTTTTTTGTATTATAACAACAGACTATCCATGATATAATAATTATATCCTGGGAATTTAAAATAAATTAAATATTCTCTTTTTAAAATAGTTGCATTTTATTTTGTTTTTTTAGATATTTGTAAAATATATATGTATTGTGATGGTAGGGAAGACATTTTAGCATGAAAATTGTAATATTATAGATGATATGAGAAGACTGTCATGTGTCTTTTAATACACATAAATATTGTAAACACAGGCCGGAGAGATTCAGGCTGTTAATCAAGCCCTTTTGTCATAATAGAGTTGCTTATTTCTTACTAGGCTGATTCAATTCGAATGGGTTTTCTTCTTCTTTTTGGTGCTTTAATGTGTGTACATAAATTGTGTATCATTAATTCCTGTACAAATGATATTTGAGGTTTAATAATAACTAATGATATAAGGACACATGGCAAAATACCATCTGAATGTTTGCATGGAAATGTTTTGATTTAAACCTATTGACTTAATGGTTGATGCCACAAGGATCAGAGATTGTTTTTCACAAAACGCAAAAAAAAAGCCAAATAAATAATTTGTTCATTTAAAAATGTTCTTATTTTTTTGTAATTGTATATGGTGCAATATGTGCATTATTTTGACAGTAAGCAACTTTACTCACATGTAGTGTTAAAAAAAAAAATGTTTGTTTTTTGTATAAACTTTTTTATTATGGTTGCCAAATGTTGAATGCTTGGTTTGGGTTGCTGTTTTTTTTTTTTTTTTCAATCTGTCAAACTGTTAACACAGTCTAATAGACTGTTATGAGTGATTTGCGATCTTTAAATATCTGAGACTTTGTTTTATCAAGAGTTGATCATGCAGAGGTCTTGGACTTTCTGGCATTTAGGAATGCATGGAATGTTCTCTTTCCAAAGCCTTTGATGATCGACTGTCTAGTTTGTAATATAATTCAATTCAATTGAACTTCATTGTTAAATGCATGTGCTCGAGTGTCATAGATCTATGTTTATGTAAAACACACAATAAAAAAGGAAATAAAGTGAGTTTGCGTTTTTGTCAACATCATGTTGTTGAGATCCTGTATTGAAATTTTAATCCTTTGGTGCACTTGACATTTTTGACCGAAACATTTTAGGTTTTATTATTATTTTTTTTACTTCATCAGAATGGTATGACACCTGGTGACTTTTGTGGCAGTTGCTATGTGAAAACACACACACACACACACAAAACATAAACTTCGAAAAGGTTAGAATGACTGCCATAGAAATTAATGGGAAATAATAATTACAGAAAATAATCTACAATCTATAAATCAGCCATGATGCAGAAAAAAGCACAGTTCATTGAAAATTTTTTTTTTTTGAATTTTGATTGTATTGTAAAAATTTGGAAACAAATGGATCATAATTATTGGATAAATATTACTTAGTATCATAAAATTGCCTCAAAATACAAAATATTACATTAAAAAAATATTTTAGAACAAAAATACATTATATTGATTTTACTGAAAAAGGTCACTTTTGACCACCAGGAGTATGACCCCTAAATAAGGTGCACTAGAGGGTTAAAGGGATTCTAATTTGAATTCATGTAAAAAAAAAAAATTCCTGCTGATTTCAGCCCAGTTTATGTTTCTCATAAGTCAGCAAAAATGGTTAAAAATGTCTTTATCCCACCCCGCCCTTTTCTTTTGCGCTTTGCGTCAGTTTCTAGCTCTTTTCTGTCCGCCTCTAATAGACCCACCCACCCCTATTTACATACTTTCTCTCTGCTTTGACATGAACAATCATCTACCACACCCTGCAAACCCGATGACTTCCTGAAGAGTCGACGCATTTAAGTTACAACATATCTAAATCACAGATTCTCCAGTAATGTCTGTATTCTGAGAGTATTGATGAGTGTATTGGTGACATTTGAATCATAACAAAGCCTTTCTTAGTGTTGCATGTTCAACATTTGATGAATTTTGACCTCAACGTGACATAGCTCTGGGTGATGACGTCAGACGAGGGCAGATATGTACCTCAGAGAAAATCGCAGGGTACAAAACATTCACTGTTTACATCACACTCCAACTGAGTGTCACAGACTGTTCTTTTGCTAGCATTGACTGATGGCAGTTGAGCAGTGATGACATATCTCTTCAAGTTTTAAGTTCTGAATGGAAGATAAAAGTTGTGTCCCAAATGACTTTGCACTAATACACTATGTACTCAATTCTGTGTAAAAAAAAAAGTTATACAGTTATACTAACTGCAGCAACTGGTTGCATGATACAGTGTCAAGGCAGTATGAGGATCTTGTCAATGTACATTTCCTTGTAATTTGTTTTGATAATACATTGGTGGATCTAAATGATCTATAGGTTGTTAGTTTAAAGGGATACTCCACCCAAAAATGAAAATTCTGTCATCATTTACTAAGTTGTTGCAAACCTGTATGAGTTTTGTTCTTCTGCTGAACACAAAGCAAGATATTTTGAAGAACGATTGGAACTTTGGCACCATTGACTTCCATAGTATTTTTTATTTTTTTTTCTACTATGGAAGTCAATGGTGCCAAACAACTGTTTGGTTCCAATCGTTCTTCAAAATATCTTCCTTTGTGTTTAGCAGAAGAAATAAACTCATACAGGTTTGCAACAACTTGAGGGTGAGTAAATGATGACAGAATTTTCATTTTTGGGTGGAGTATCCCTTTAAACATTTTGGTTTTAGGCTGCTAACGCAAAAGTAGCATGCTAATATATAGATGTTACTATGCTGCCCTCTACTGGTCAAATAGAGTCCATAAACATTCTCTGCTGGAGTTTAGTGGGACATTCTAAAACGCTTAAGGTACTCTCATATTCTGTTCACCAACCCAGTGTCTTTAAGAAATTTAAATAATGCCTTCCTGGTGATTCTTATCCCCTTTCCTTCTCCTTCTGTTCCCAATAACCCCATCAGATTCCATTCTCGCCCTGCCTCCTGTACCCTAAATATCTGTCTTTCCAACTCAAACAATATACAATGAAAAATGACATGTTCAACATTTTCTTTAATCCCACAGTTTTCACACTTTTCACTATTCAATTTTCCCAATAAAAACAAGGTGCTATTCAGACCTGTTAGATCTACTCTCAATCTTGTCATTATTATTTCCTCCCGCCTGCTCCTTTCCCTATAATTTTTATTACTGACCACCTGACTGATGCTGATGGTCTATCAAGGCGACCGCAGGAACAATTGCCTGAAAATCCTAGATCTAAAAAATAGTACGAACGAATTCAACAGTTTATGCAGAATCATCTCACGGAAGTTGCATATTCTTGTGACACCGCAATTGATGTAGTTCAGGCTATATGTGAGAAGCATCTGGTCAGACAGCCAACGGACGTTGGGTCTGGTGCTGCTTTTGTTGAATCTCTTGCACTTCACCCTAATGCTGTACCTGATAGTTACGAACAAGAAGGTGATTTAGAGCCTGTTGTATCTTACCTGTCAGGGAACCTCTGTGACGAGCAAAGGGCAGATCCAGTCATTCGGGAAGTAGTGTCTTTCTTAGAGTCGGGAGAAAAGCCTCCACCAACAGTCAGGAGGGAACTCCCAGATCTTCCTTTCTTTTTAAGAGAGTGGAACCGTCTTGAGTTAAAAGATGGGGTGCTTTATCGGAAGCGGCAGGTAGAGGAATTAGTTACTTACCAACTCGTGCTACCCGAGAAACTGAGGTCCCCTGTATTGAGCAGCTTGCATGACAGTATGGGTCATATGGGGGTAGAGAGAACTCTAGATTTGGTAAGGTCTCCTTTCTATTGGCCGAAGATGGCTGCGGAAGTAGAACAAAAGGTCCGGACATGCGGTCGTTGTGTGAGGAGGAAATCATTGCCTCAAAAAGCTGCACCGCTGGTTAATATCCAAGCCACAAGACCTTTAGAGTTGGTCTGTATGGATTTTCTCTCATTAGAGCCAAACAAGAGTAACACGAGGGACATCTTGGTAATCACTGATTTCTTTACTAAATATGCTGTGGCAGTCCCCACACCCAGCCAAAAGGCAAGAATGGTGGCGAAATATCTTTGGGACAATTTTGTTGTACACTATGGGTTCCCCGAGCGTCTTCATAGCGACCAGGGACCATTTTGAATCGCGCACCATCAAAGAGCTCTGTGAAATGGCAGGTGTTAAAAAAAAAAACGAACAACCCCTTATCATCCCAAGGGAAATCCTGTTGAACGTTTCAATAGGACTTTGCTCAGTATGTTAGGTACCTTGGAAGAAAAAGATAAGGTCCGTTGGAGAGATTTTGTAAAACCCTTAGCTCATGCGTACAATTGCACGAAACATGAGGTCACTGGGTTCACTCCCTACGAATTGATGTTTGGATGTCAACCCAGGTTACCCGTAGATCTTGCTTTTGGGTTGCCGTATCAAGATGGTCCGCGACAGTCTCATTCAGAGTATGTCAAGCATCTGAAAACCAATCTGAAAGAGAGCTATTCGCTTGCGTCACGTGGTATGTCAAAAAGTGCAGAAAGAAACAAAGCTAGGTTTGACAATTCCGTAACTCATTGTTCTTTGGAGATTGGTGATCGAGTGTTTGTGAGGAACGTTAGGCTACGCGGGAAGCATAAGTTAGCAGACAAGTGGGAGTCTGAGGTGTATGTTGTGGTGAATCAGGCAGCTGAATTGCCAGTTTATACTGTTCGTCCAGAGAGAAAGGACGGTCCTCCTTCTCACCTGAGACGCGCTCTCTGCTCCTCAGTACGGCTCGTCTCAGGTGCTGCGGTTATCACTCCGCCCAAGTAGCAGTGCTTCGCCTTCAGAGAATATAGTTCCCAGTATTTATACGGTTAAAATATGTCTGTGTCTCATGTGACTTTGTTTTTTGTACACTCTGTGACTATACAAATCACAACATGTAAATAGGAAAATG